CTTCTCTCGAACCTTCGTGAATTATCGGGAGACTACTAGATTGGGGGTAGGCTGGTATATATAAGATGGTCACAACGTAACAGAGGTAATGAGTAATTGAACTGCAGTCAGAGAGAATATTGTTAAGCACGTGAGAAGTTCGTTGAGAATTATAGCGTTTGTTACAGAGCGACTGTTGAATTTGAGTGTATCGTAAAGTTGTATTCGGAAAGAATAAACCGGTTTTATTTAAGAAAGGACTTGTGTCGCTAAAGTTTCGTCGGAACGAATTTACGGAAAAGTAACTAACGACTGGAGACGTAACAATATATTTGTCAACTTAGAAGGTAATACAACATTGAAATTTCTGAATATAAAATAATACGCTACAATATTGAATTTCTTGTATTTAAGAGAATAAGATAAATACATAGTTTCCTGTATTGTACATAAACATTATTTTAGTTAAATTTTCGGCTGCAGCAGATCCAGTTTAGCCGAAAGATTCTGGTATTGTACAAAAGACCTTTTTGAATGTGATTTGTGAAAGTAACAAATTTTACACACCTATGGGTTTTAACAGGTAGAGGCCTAGCATGGCCTAGTGGTTAGGGTACTCTACTCGCAATCTGAGGGTCACTGAACATGGGGGCGTTATAATGTTACGGTCAATCCCACTATTTGCTGGTAAAAAACTATCTCGAGGGTTGGCGGTGGGTGGTGATGACTAGCTGCCTCTCCTCTAGTCTTACACTGCTAAATTAGGGACGGCTAGCGCAGATAGCCCTCGTGTAGCTTTGCGGGAAATTCGAAACAAACAAACCATCATATCAATATGTTATTTGTTTATATACTTTTTAACAATACCGTTAGAGGGCCAATCTTTAGCCCTCTAAAACTAGCTCCCACTATCGTGTCTATAAAACATTAAATATCGTCCTTCATGTCTAATAACTAGAAATTATACATTAACAAGTTATACAGATATTCAATATTTCTTTCCAGAATTATCGAGTGTTATATTATTATGTCTGTCTGGTGTAACCCAATCCACAAGTGAATCATTATAAAAAATGTGAATATTCTACGATTTTTTATCTGAAGTTTCAGTTTGTTTGTAATTAAGCACAAAGCTACACAATGTGTTCTGTGTGCTCTGCCCACCACGGGTATCGAAACCCGGATTCTAGCGTTGTAAGTCCGCAGACATGCCGCTGTGCCACTGGGGGGGGGGCACTGAAGTTTCTGATGTCCTTTCAAAGAGGCATTATGTTATATCTAACATTTAAAATGTAGATCTGTTCAAAACACAATGTAGTCAAGAAAAAATGAAATTAAAATTCCATTTGACTTTTGTCCAAACAGACGTTACTTCGATGTAACAGTTGATTTTTATTTAGACACAATTTCAGAGCTTAACATCTCGACTGGTTAGAAATTTGAAGATTTGAAAACCAAGCATACTATACATATCGAATACTTGATAATTATTTTACCAGTTCTTTAATTAATTACATTTTGTCAAGTAACATTGGAATCAGAATACAAGCATGGAAGTATACAAACAAAAAAAGAAAGCCAAATAAATAAACCCCCATGTCTCCCTTGTGGAAGCCATATATAAACATAAGTTTCTGTCACCCATACATAATATTAGGAAACCTAACGTAGATGAACTTAGATCAACATGTACATGAAGACATATATCTTAATATTCAAATAGGCTACACCAGAGAAGAAGTAATATCGTAGACTTGTTTGTTTGTTTGTTTTAAATTTCGCGCAAAGCTAGACGAGGGCTATCTGCGCTAGCCGTCCCTAATTTAGCAGTGTAAGACTAGAGGGAAGGCAGCTAGTCACCACCACCCACCGCCAACTCTTGGGCTACTCTTTTACCAACGAATAGTGGGACTGACCATCACATTATAACAATCCCACGACTGAAAGGGCGAGCATATTTGGTGTGATGGGGATTCGAACTCGCGACCCGCAGATTGCGAATTTCGTAGACAAAAACTGATGTATATATATTATTAAAGAGGCCAACATGTCTCCGCCACGCAATCCCAGCATGGTGAATTTTGACACCAGAAAAATTGTGAAAAAATACAGAAAGAGCGAAAACTGTCTATATCACTACTTGGGACCTGCAAGAATGTATTTTTGTACCAAATCCCATGTAACTTGGTTGACATACACATGAAGAATTCACGAAAACCCCAAATTTGTATCTTTTCTCTCTTAAAAATTGAGCAAAAGACAAAAATTCCAAAATTGTCTACATCTCTGTTTGGGACCTGCAAAGAGTATCTTTGTACCAAAACTCCATCTAAACTGGTCGAAAAAAGATTAAGTAATTGACCAAAACTCCATCTAAACTGTGAAAAAAAAGATTAAGTAATTGACCAAAACTCCAGAAATTGTGGGTTAATTTAACCTTTTAACCCCATAAAACGACCAAAAATTGGCATACCACACATTTTTGTATGTTTATGTATGGGACCCATGAGAAAGTATCTTTGTACCAAATCTCATGTAAATTGGCTGAAATAAGGCGGAGTAATTGTCAAAACATCCTAAAATTATTTTGTTATGACCATCATTTTTCATGTAAATAGGTCAAAATATGGCCAAGTAATTGATCAAAACCCCCAAAATTTTACATTTTGTGAGCTCTGACCCCCCTAAAAGGACTCAAAATAAGCAAATCTAACTTTATGCCTGTCAGTGTGTTGAGCGCATAAAAATCTATACTCGTGCCAATTTTCATCTTGATTGCCGTAAATATGACCATTCAGGAGTCAAAAATATACATATTTTGGGTTATTTGACCTTTCACCCCATAGAATCCTTAAAAAAAGACTTTAATAAAAAATAAAAAAACTTATCTGGGCGTATTGGACCAAGATATAACCCTACCAAGTTTCAAGTCAATCCGCCGAGAAATAAAAGAATGGTGTTTAATTGAAAAGTGTTTGGAATAAGAAGAAACAACAGAAAAATAGTGTCTCTGAGTGAGACATAAAAAAATACATATTGCTAGTGACTGCAAGCTTCACTGCAGAGCAAATACGTTAACCACCAGGCTATACCTGCAAGGACTTATGAGCATAAAAAGTGCCTATATTTCAAACTGAACACATCAATACTACTATATGTTTATTTGCAAATTTTTGTTACGTTTGAATTAAGCTTATAAGAAATCGAACTCCTCTAGCTGCCACGGTGTGTTAGTGTTAAACCGATTAGGCCTACAGCTTAAAACTTCATAGCTTTTCTTATCACTGGCATTTTGTGGTGTTAATTATTTACTCGAGCGTATTAAATGATTGCTTCCAAACTTACAAGGATTCAAAATTGTGTTGTAGTTCGTAATTAACATACAATTACCTTTCGTGTAACTGTTAGGCTAACTGATTAGTTACAAGGCGAGCTCGATCTTCAATGGCCACCACTAAGGAATCTTTGAGTTATTAACCATGTTTCTATAGAAAAACATTATATCTATGCATTTATATAGAAACATGGTTAAAAATCTTTTACTCAATCGATTGTTACGTAATGAAATTTGTTTTAAGGTTTGAACAAAAATGTTAAACACTTAAACAGTAAATGACATGTTTACTAATAGGTCAGGGAGTTAATGATAAGTAAACGGTAAAATCTGTGATGTATAACATAAAAACAAACAGAAAGTGTGAAAAAAGATGGCTTAAAGAATCACAACTAAACAAGGGTAGTATGATATGTAAAGAATCAATTAGTGAAAAGATGAAATGTATGAGGTAAAGCAGCAAATGGTATAAGGTGTAAGACATAATCACTGGAAAATATGATGTATATCAAACCTAAAAGTGAAGGGTGCCACATGCGAGATCCGAAGATGTAAAATTATAGCATGTAAGGAACCAAACGGCGTAATGTTAGTATCCGTCAAGGAGGTGTGTAAAATACAAGACATCGCAGAATATACGTTATTTAAAAAGTGAGAGCAGTCGCGTCCGTACATCAAATAATATGAATTTTATCTAAACAAACATACAGATTCAGGTGTTTGGTAAGTTGAATTGGATGAATTTCACCCTGTACTGTGATCCAAAATCAACAACTGCTAGTTCGAACTTTCTGATTACAGGTTCAAAATGGAACATTGAAAATTTATTTACCAGCTGTAGCAAAAGCAGACCTAGAACACTTGTTTTAATGCTGTTCTTGTTATTGATAATCATTAGTGACCTAGTTAGTGTTCCATACTTTAGTTTTCATAAGGCATCGATTCACGTCCTACGCTCTAGCGTATAGCAATTGCATTAATGTTGCCACTTCCCAGATATGGTATAATTTAATTTTAACGAATGTGAGTTAAGTTACCATAACTACCGTAAAAAAGTAATACATCAGAGTTTGTTTGTTTGTTTTGAATTTCGCGCAAAGCTACACGAGAGCTATCTGCGCTATCCGTCCCTAATTTAGCAGTGTAAGACTAGAGGGAAGGTAGCTAGTCATCACCACCCACCGCCAACTCTTGGGCTACTTTTTTACCAACGAATAATGGGATTGACCGTCACATTATAACGCCCCCGCGACCCACAGATAGCGAGTCTAGCTCTCTAACCACCTGGCCATGCCGGGCCAACATCAGAGTAAACTTACAAACTCATTAGCTGCTTACATTGGCTTTCATTATTAAACATATTCTTAATTACTTCGTGTGATATTATGACGTCAGGTAACAATGAATAATTTGAAATATTTTATAGCATAATGTCAAACAATTTTGAAATATTCACTAGTCCTTGAAGTACATGTAAAAAGGTATCAAAAGAGACTATTGTTAACAATTATTATGCAAAAATTTTATTTTATTTTTAACATTCTTGTATTTATTCTAAACCATAATTATTAGATCGGTTTGTCTTGATTTGTTGAATCTTGGCGTTACACCACTGCATTAATCATGAACGTTCATCTCTTTTTATAAATATAGAGATATAAAAATCAGAATTTTTGTTTTAACTTACCAGAATCCTTCCGGTCGTACTTTGCCCAGATATTAGTTCTCCTGCCCAGTCCTTTGCTTCTGTCATAAAACCAATCTCGTTGAGTTGGTTGTCTTTGTCTCCTTGATGGTGGGGGTCTCTCTTCGGCTGCTGCTGTTGTTTCACCACACTCTGACTGTAAGAGGCAGAGGACTTTTCTTTGCGACAGCAAAGAAAGGCAAATGCTCGCCATAGTAAAATAATTATCAGCCCTGAGAGAAAAGTAAAGATACTTGACAAGAGAAAACACCACCATTTTCTTTCCTTCAGGCATTCTTCGTCTGGATCGAGCGTGGGCACCATGTCCGTGCCCGCTGCTGTACTGCCGCCAAAGCTCATTGCTGAGGATACTCAGCTAAGCCTTGTTACATCAGAGTCTGTTTCAGGGTACTGTGAGAAGATGGATTCATCACAGCTCAAGGAACGAACCGTATTTTGAAGTTTCATTTGAGATATGGCACGTGCCCATCCATGAAGGCCGGAAAGAATAAAGAATTAAAAAATGTTCCTCTCTTTTTTTAAACTTCGTATCGAAGAATCAAAGGAAACTAACTTTTAGACAGCTGTGACGTTTCTAACTAATATGGTCTGATTACATTTTTAATAAGGGATATAATCAAGCATGTTCTTTAGAAGGAAACTTAATATACTTTAGTTGTTCATTTCACTAACGAAAAATCTTTTGTAGAAAGGTAATGAGCTGGTTATAATGCATACCTTGCAACAGCTCGTCAACTGTTGTCTGTTTCATTCGCTACAGTCTGGTCTGTGATCTCTCCCAGTAGAAACTTGCTCAAGTCAACACGGTGCGAAAACCATTCCGAGGAGGACTTGCGCATGCGTTATAACTATATTAAACGAACAGCGGATTGTTTCCATGACTTAATAAAGATTTTTGCGCTACCACCGTTTTGTTTTTATCCATCTCTCTGTCTGTCTATTTGGAATTAAACTAGTACAATCGGAAAGGGTTTGTGTTAGAGATAATATTTAATTAGTTTACTTAGTGCCGACTTTCTTCGTGGCTTTTTATTTTGGTACTGTAGATCGATGGACATGCCAAGTCTCTTATCTATTTGAATGAAATGAAATTGAGTCCTGAATGAAACCCGTGACCAAATTTTTCTAGGTTTAGCACAAAAGCTTTATGTGGATACTGTAGTTCTCGTGTCGTCGTACTGCACATGCGTGTTACATAGAGACAATCGATACGAAAGCAGGGAGGGAGAGAGAGAGAGAGACAGCGATGGAGACATACAGATGTAGCCCATACAGATAAAAATCAAGAGAGAGACATGGAGAGGAAGGTGAGGAAAGAGACAGATGAATAAAAAAACAGAGGTGGAGACAGGGAGACGAGTAAGACAGGCATCAAGCTAAATAGATAGGCTGATACACAAAGAGGCAGATAGATAAAGATATAAAAGTAATCAGACAGGCAGGCAGATAGACATACAGATACATAGATAGATTGATTGTGGTTGAAAAACAATCAACATATTTTTCTAGTGCTGAAAGGAACCTAAATTATATATATATTTCACCCATTTTTTTATTTAGCTACGTTAAACACCCTTGATAGTTCATCATTCTGTCAAAGAGACAAACCATTCCTGTATAAATGGTTCTATACACTTTACGATCTAACACAGTTCACCGATATATTATTAGTTTAGGCAGTTTCTGAGCAGTAGAGTGAAGCCAGGAGATATTCAAGGTCAAGAACAAGGTAGTGTGGAGTCTCTTGTAGTAATGTAATTGGAGTGTAAAGTACAATCACTGTATATATATATATATAGTTCTGGATCCAATTATTGTAGAAAACGAAATTACTTTTTTTTTCTACTGTGGTAGGCCAGCTCTGAAACACAACCACAGAAGGTTTGGTCTGAGTGGATTTAACATGTTTTTAAGAGTGTTAGACTTTTACAATTATTGTTTTTTAATACTAAAAGGTCGTCACCTAACGTAACTCATAAAATGACGATGAATAATCTGATCCTTCAAATATACCCCCACTTGCTTCAAGTACTGATATTTTTAGTTTAGAAAAGAACTGTACACTAAATGCTGCGCCCCTCAGTGGCCCAGCGGTATATCTGCGGACTTACAATGCTAGAATCCTTGTTTCGATACCCGTGGTGGGCAGAGCACAGATAGCCCATTGTGTAGCTTTGTGCTTAACTTCAAGCAAACAAACAAAATGCTGCAATCTATGGTCAACGCAGAACTGTACGCTTATATCAAACTGGTATGTGTGCTAAAAACAGAACTGTACATTGAATACTAATATGTTTCGTTAGAATAGCACTGTACATAAATACAGATGTACTTGGTTGGAAGGGAAATGGATTTTGAATATTGGTGTTTATGGTTAGCAGAGAACTATCAATCAAATACCGATAATTGGCCGATAGACAATTTTCCATCAGGTATTGTATTTGCTTGGATAGACATGACTATCCAATTATTGATTATGTTTGGCTGATCGCAAAAGCAGAAAAAGCTAATATGTTAATTAACAAATATTAGTAAATTTAATTATAATTTGTTGCCTAGCAGAAATTAGTTCACCAAATAATGGTATATTTATTTAGCACAGAATTCTACCACAACTACTGAAAGGTTCGGTTAGAAAAGAACTGCTCGTTAATGAACATTTATAGAAGTTTTTAAAATTTATTAAATCATATACAGTAGTTGGTGTTCGTGCTTATTCTAATTATTGCATCGATGAAATTATATAAAGTTAGCTCAATTTGCAACGTTGTTTTGTCAGCAATATACGACCTACTCTTTTCTCACGCTCACGTATGCCGAATACCCAAAAATGTTCTTCATGTGTTCTCGTAATTAGTGAATCTGTGACGTCACAGGCGTGAGACTCTCCGAGGATCAACCTGTGATAATTATTTCTACTGTCAATATGTTTGCTAACTTGTTTTGTCGATCGTCCTTTCTTAAAGGAGCTTTCGATAAAAGACGCTGTACCGAGGTACGAAATCTGGCGTTTCGTCTATTTGTTATTTACCAAAGATCAGGAAACAGATTATAACTGTATGATATTTATTAATGCAATATTTAGAAACATTTTGTAACTATTTTCGAAAACAGTTGTGCGTGTTTACATTATTCTTCCAGAGCACGAGAAATGCTACGTCAATTTAAAGGATCCTGTTCGCTCCATTTTCCTTTTTTTTTCTCAGAATAGGATAACTCCTTGTAATATTCATTTATTTCCCCGCCGTGTCTGTCATTTGTTTCTCCAGATCCTGATGTAGTTTAATGATATTATAATCGAAATTGATATCCATTATTAATCAGAGATGTAGGTAAAATATTAAATCAAAATAAATGTATTCCATGGAGGTTTTGGTACAATATATAGTGGGTTATATTGGCGTAATGTCAGATTGTCAAGAACGTCACCAGATCACGTGAGTAGAAGTAACAGAATAAGACAAAGAACTAAGTAAAAAACGTCGTTTATTTGCCCTTTAAATTATAATATATTTTAACATAAATTTCTCTAAATCAAAATAAGAACAAATACTGAAATATACGTGTAGTATATAAAACAGGATTAAAAGTAAGAACTTTAGAAAAAAATACTAGTATATTTGTTTATAAAAACTTGTAAACCAACTGAAAAGGTATCTGCCGAATACCAATAATTCGGTTAGCAGAGGAAAACACATTAATTAACCAGTTACCGATTTTATCAGCAGCACTGTTATTATTAAAATGATTTTTTTAATTTTTAACAGTCTAAGTTTGTACGATTGGTTAGCAGGTAATTAAATTTATTAAATATGATTGTTATATCAGCAAATATCTATTTATCAATCATAAATGTATTTGGCCAAGAACTGTTTTCCAACTGCAAATGTGTTTGGTTAGAATACCAATATCAATATTTGTAGGCAACAATGAACTATAATTCTAGAAACAAATATGTCGGATTACCAAAGAACTGTACACTGAGCCCTCATTAAACTTTCGGCAGATACGTTTGTTGTCTTGCATATGCTGAAAAATATGCTATTAATTTTATCATAAACGATTTCCCAACAAGTTCTATACCTTACATAACGCAAGAAAATTACATAAAAAAATTAATGTTAATATGGGTTAAGTACACTTTTTAAAATGGAATTGTTTTGGATTTAAAGGGTTCCAGCTTTTAAAAAAATAATATTGAATTTGGTTAGGTAAACTGCCTTTGAAGATGATTCATCATATCGTTCTCCTTGTCGCTATTGATTTTGGTTAATAAGATACGGTTTGTTTGTTTGTTTGTTTTGAATTTCGCGTTGGATTGAATTGCGCATAATATAAACATTCCTTTCAATAAGTACAGATTAAAAATTCAATATTTTTATTAAATTACTCAATGTTATTGAAACATGTTAAGATTTATTTGTTTTTTCAAGTATTAGCAGTTTATTGTTAATAAACACATTTTTTATGTAATTTTTATAATAGGTATTTGTAGGTTGTTGGTTTGTTCATAATTTTCGCATAAAGCTATACAAGGGCTATCTACGTTAGCCGTTCCTAATTTTGAATTGATAGATAAGAGGGAAGACAGCTAGACAACAATATCTACCACCAACCATTATCTAATTGATTAGTGGGGTGGAAACACCACTCTCAAGTTTAAACCCCCTCCCAAAATTGGAGGTTTTTTTCCCTAACGGGACGCGAGCCTTGGATTCTCAGGCTCACAGTAATGACATGCTAACCACACGACTACATCTGGCTCTTTATGGAAACAGGCATGTCTAAATATTGTGTTTTCAACCATTATTGATCTCATGTTAAAGTTGTTCCTGGTACGCTAACCACACTCGACCCTTCCAAGCTTGAAGTAAAAAACAACAACACTAAGATAAAAAAATGACGTTGTACTGAACTGTTGAAAATAGCGTGAAGTGGAATATGTAATATTGTACTAAATTCTTTGAATGTTTGGTATATGGTATATTCACACGACTACATCTGGCTCTTCATGGAAACAGGCATGTCTAAATATTGTGTTTTCAACCATTATTGATCTCGTAATAAAGTTGTTCCTGGTACGCTAACCACACTCGACCTTTCCTAGCTTGAAGTAAAAAACAACAACACTAAGATAAAAAAATGACGTTGTACCGAACTGTTGAAAATAGCGTGAAGTGGAATATGTAATATTGTACTAAATTCTTGGAATGTTTGGTATATGGTATATTATTTCAATAATAAACGGTAATGTATTCCGTATTTAAACAGAAAACTTAGCTTTATACTTCTACAAGAGACCATATAACTGCTTAGCTAATAATGACTTGTATAAAACTGTCCCTTCATTTGAAAGCCTAAGTAGACGCAAGCTAAACATGGTTATTCAAGGAAGGGGTACTTGAATACGTATTTGTTTGTAATTAAGCACAAACCTACACAATGGGCTATCTGTGTTCTGCTCACCACGGGTATAGAAACCCGGATTCTAGCGTTGTAAGTCCACAGACATGCCGCTATGCCACTGGGGGCGGTACTTGAAGTAATTAGAAGACTGAACAACCTTTTCTCTTCGTTCATACTGAAAAAGCTAAATACGTTGGTTGATGCGTGGTTAAAAAAAACCTACCTTTTGCTTCTTGTTTGTTTGTTTTTGAATTTCGCGCAAAGCTACACGAGGGCTATCTGCACTAGCCGTCCCTAATTTAGCAGCGTAAGACTAGAGGGAAGGCAGCTAGTCATCACCACCCACCGCCAACTCTTGGGCTACTATTTTACCAACGAATAGTGGGATTGACCGTCACATTAGCCCCCACGGCTGAAAGGGCGAGCATGTTTGGTAGGAGAGGGATTCGAACCCGCGACCCTCAGATTGGGAGTCG